TACCATTTACAAAGAGGCATCAGACCCAAATGCTTTCACAACTGAGTTCTACCTAATCTTCAAAAATTAGATAATGCTTCTAGTTTTTAAACCATTGGAAATTATAGAAAAGTTTTCGAGTTTATCTTTTAGAGCTAGAGTTAAATTAATATTCAAACTAATTAATATTTGTCTCAGCCAGGCATGGTGCCTCACACCTGTAATCCCAGCACTTTGGGAGACCAAGGCGGGTGAATACCTGAGGTCAGGAGTTCAAGACCACCCTGGCCAACATGGTGAAACCCTGTCTCTACTAAAAATACAAAAATTAGCTGGGCGTGGTGGAGCATGCCTGTATGTAATCCCAGCTACTCAGGAGACTGAGGTAGGAGAATCGTCTGAGCCCAGGAGGCAGAGGTTGCAGTGAGCCGAGATCTTGCCACTACACTCAAGCTTGGGCAACAGGGCGAGACTCCATCTTAAAAAACAAAAAACAAAACAAACAACAACAAAAAAAAACTGCATGCAATCTAAATCAAAAATCCCAATGGCTTTTAAAGGAAACTGGGTAAAATGATTTTCATGTTCCTATACAGTGTCAAGAAAACTATGAAAAAGAATAGAACTTAAGAGGAACTTGCCTCTGGTTCACCAGAGTCCTGTGAGAAAAACAATATGGCATTGGCACAAAAATGACAAACAGATCAGTGAAACAAAAGACTTCAGAAATAAATCCAAGGATATATATGGTGACCACATAAAGTGTCATTTCAGTTCATGAGGGTAAAGGATGACTTACTTCATCAACAATACTGGAATAGGAGGCTCCCTAACCAAGAGAAAACAGAAATTAGAGTCCCTACAAAACAATATATTGAAAAAAAAATTTGGGGGGATGGGGTCTCGCTCTGTCACCTAGGCTGGAGTGCAGTGGCATGATATTTCACCATAACCTTGAATTCCTGGGCTCAAGTGATCCCCCCACTTCAGTCTCCAGAGTAGCTGGGACTACAGGCGCATAGCCACCTTGTCCAGGTAATTTTTCAAAATAATTTTTTAAATCACCATTGGATCTGCTAAACAAAATAATTTTAATTACATAAAAATCCAAACAAAACAATAAAAATATAGAAAAAAACCTAGGCATATATTTGCAGAACCTTGGGGTAGAAAAGACCTTTTTAAGCAGAACAAGAAACACCAGGAATCATAAAGGGAAAAAATAAACATTACACAAATATTAAAGCTTTTTATATATGAAAAGATTACATAAGCAATAACAAGATAAATCATACACTACAAAAATGTGCAGCAAATGTATTAGAAAAGTTAATACGCTTAATGTACAAATAACTCCAAATAGAAAATGGGGCACAGGATATGAACAGGCAATTTATCAGAGGGACAACTTAAAGTGCTATTAGATACATAAAAGCATTAAACTCCACTAGGAGTCTGGTCAAAGCAAAGTGAAACAGCGATGACATATTCTTTATTTTTTTAACCTGTGAGATTAGCTGTAACACTCACTGTTTGTAAGGCTGAGGGGAACAAACTCTCCCATATATTGGTGTAGACACGTGAATTACATTTGATGTTTGAAAAGAAAATCGCTGAACCCAGAATAGAACTGAAACTGTGGTTAGAAGACAGATAAAAGATTTATGTGTATGGACTAAGATTGGAAGAGAACAAAGACAAGCAATCCCTTTAATACAGAAGGTGGCCTTGTGGGTGATCATCTTCCTTATTTTTGTTATGAAAGCATGCAATAAAAATAACTTGCAAGATTTCCATCTTTGTATAGTAAGTACATTTGCCCTTTAAAAATTAATTTTCTGAAGAACAACCAAACTATACTGCCTTGAAAGAAGAAGGAACTTTAGAAGGTCTGCCACAATCACCACTTCAAGGGGTAACAGTAAAAATCAATAAAAGTGGACACAAATATGCAAGGCTAATGGCAAAAACATCACGTTGCTGTTGTGCTAATACCAGAGGGTAATCCAGAATTGGACTAATGTTTATTAGGATGATGTATGGGAACTCTTCTCCCCCTTTTCCTGGGTCCTAGCCTGGGAGGACTGGGGTAGATGCTCCCTTTCTCTGATGAACTAGTCTCTCGATAGCTCACAGAGGAATGGAAGGTAGGCCCCATGCCTTCAAATGACTGGCTACATCAGTCAAAGCCTACATTGGAGGGAAATAGATTGGAAACAGATTCATCTCAGCCTCTGGGTCTCCCAGTCCAGTCTTACTAGAATAAATCACAATCTCAGTTGGTGGTTTCTTGTGGTCTATTTTCAATGTGGTTAGAACTCAAGAGGGGAGGATAGGTGACTAGAACTTTCAAAACCCCAACAGATGGCTTTGCAATACCCCCTTATTTCAAAGAATCTCAGACAAAAGGAAATGGGTTCTACATTTAACGTCAAATACGCCGGGTGTGGTGGCTCACGCCTGTAATCCCAGCACTTTGGGAGGCCGAGGCGGGCAGATCACCTGAGGTCAGGAGTTCAAGACTAGCCTGGGCAACATGGTGAAACCCTGTCTCTACTAATAATACAAAAATTAGCCGAACGTGGTGGCACACACCTGTAATCCCAGCTACTCAGGAGGCTGAGATAAGAGAATCGCTTGAACCCACGAGACTGAGGTTGCAGTGAGCCAAGATCGTGCCACTGCACTCCAGCCTGGGGCGGACAAGAGTGAAACCCCGTCTCGAAAAAAAAATAATAAAGTCAAATACAAGCATGAAGGACAAGCAGAAGCTGGCCTCTTAGAAAGCAAAATAACATAGGTCTAGTTAACTATTCTATAATTTAGTCAATGTGTTTAGATACTTCTGTGGTAGCTCACATAGCCAAAGACATCTAGAAGTCCTGAGCAGGTTTTCAGGAGCCAAGTCTCCTAGTGGCTTTCCAGTCTTGACAGGTCACTATAATGCCAGATCCTTTGTGTCCACCAATACCAGCAATACAAGTAACATGGGAGACCAACTGAATAGGAAAAACCAAGTATTCTTGATTTTGGCCTCAAACTTGGTGGACTGAGTATTTCCATCGCAGAAGTCAGAAAATGATTTTGAAATTGAAGTCGGTGCAGATGCTTTGCCTATACACAATAGTGTATGTTCCTTGGTGCTAAACTACTGAAGGGAGTCAATCACCTCCAGCTTTGAACAACTTGGGAATTCATTAACTGTGTGACTTAAGCCTTCTCATTTTGAGTGTGCATGTATACTTTGTCTATAGCCAACACTCCACTAGGGTAACTTAAAACAAAATAGTAATTTATTTACAATAGGAAAGATGTCAAAAATAACAGGAACAATATATAACAAATCCAAGATTTTTATGAAAAAGGCAAACAATATATACACGAAACAAAAGATGAAACAAAATCCATAGGGTAAACTTAATTTGACCTCAAAACAGTTGCAGAATGTGGCAAAATGGTTTTTTCGATGATTTCCTTAAGTAACCCTGGGCCAATTAAAACACACAAATCTTTCTCAGCCCCTCTTTTAAATGCTGAAACTTCCTCTGAACCCAATTTACCTTTAAGGAATGTAACTATGGGAGGCCACACAAGATTTAGGAAGTGCAGGCTATTTACATGTGTGCTAAAGGATATATACTTGTTGACTTGGCAGACTCACAGTTTTAAAACAGCAAACCGAAGGTATAAACTACCGTCTGGGTCCTATTCTTCTCTCACTGTTCATTTCTGATTTTTTTGTGATTTTCTCATCTACCACACTAAATGTTGAACCAGTCATCTTTTAGGTTCTTCAAGTGCTCTAAAAGTTTCCTAAGCTTTAACAGGCATCAGAATCACTTGGAGAACATATTAAAACAAAGATTGCTGGGTCACACACCAGTTTCCCAATTCAGTAGGACTAGCATGGGGCTGAGAATTTGCATCTTTAACAAAGTCCCAGGAGATTAAGATGCTGCCAATGCCGCAGGCCACACTTTGAAAACCACTGCTCTGAAAGATTGCCCCCCCTTTAAGATATTGATTAGCCATGTTTTTCCTTACATGAATGCTAGAATTTGTGTGAAATGCAATTGTTAATACTGAGATTTCCAGGTAATACAGATGCACATTATCTGACTGGTTGGGATCACAGACAGGTTAGGTATCATCTGTTGGACGTTCCATTACAACTTAAGTTTTTCAGCATGCTATGGTTTTGTCCGATTTATGGCTCTGGACAGTGACATTCACCACATTCCCTTGGTCATTTACCTAAAATTCTGATTTACTGTTTCAACTATTAGGCAAACATTTGCTTGCTCATACAGCTGGAAGAACTGCAGAATCTTGTCTATAAAACCAAAGATGGCACAACTCTATCTCTTTTGACTCCTGACATTTACTTAACTGCCGATTTTTAACTGCAGCAATGACCACTCTCTAGTATGTTAGCATCTACTAGAGTCCTCTAAACTGGGCACAAAGGGGTAACTTGAGGGCACGATTTCTGCTGTGGAGGTGGTTACAGTTCCCACTGATTAAATATGCTGTGAATTAATACTGAAATGAACTTTAAGTGCTCTCAAAAACCACTTTATGCATAGGTAATTCATCTCAGAGGAATTGGAGATGCTAATAAAACAAATCCTTTATGAAGATAAAAGAAAAAATGAATTCCAAGGACATGCTCATCAAAGGACTCACCAATCACCTCTTCTCTGAAATACTACTTGCAAATTCACAGGACTGAAATATTACCAGTATTTGCATCTGAGTCACAAAATTCAAAGCAATCGAGCACTTTGCATTCCACTGCTGCGTAAAAGGAATTAAGAAATGGGGGGGATGAAAATAATCCACTGCTTTTGATGTTTATTAGGTTTACAAAAACTGTACATTTTTTTCCTTAAGAAAAATCATTAACTTAGTACTGGTATCAAATAGACTAAACATTCAATAACAGGAAAATATTCTGATTTTTATTTTTGCACGTTATTCTCAAGTACACAATTACAATAATGTCACACATCCCTATATGATTTTCTTTTTATGTATTTTACTTTTTTTACAAAGTATACAGAGGGAGGGACATACAATATTTAATAGGATATTTCTACAGAACAATAACTTATATTATGTCCTTGTAAAAATCTGTACCTCTTTAAAACATTTTAACTGAAGCATCCTTGTCTTTTTAGCTTTGCTAATCAAAATTGTTTTAAGAATTAAAACTAGGTTGTAACTAATGTCAGTACATAACAGTGACTACAATTTCATTTTCTCTTTATACAGACAAATACGTTTTATCATATTCACTTGACCAGACCCTTAAATACCTTTTAAAGGTTTTAATATTGTGCTTTAAAAAGAAAAGAACTGTGTATGATTCCAGACTATGTAAGAGAAATATAAAATGTGTAAAGTGTTGTGTTCTTTATCTTTCAGTTTATTTAAAAAAATATAGTTAAATGACCCAATCATTTATATTTTCTGTATTAATTTTATAGGATTTAAAATTAATACACTTCCACTTTCATTTAAGTGTTTTTACATTACTTCTGGGAAAAATAAAAATCAAGGGAGATTTTAAAAGTTCTCACAAAAAAACAGACAGAGCTTTCAAGAATCGCAGGGCAATGAATTACAAATCATATAATTTTAAGTTCGTTAAAAAAAAAAAAAAAAAAAAAACCAGCACATTATGTGGGCCAAGAAGGTACAGGAATTTGCTATGAGATAGGCTAGGAAAACCCATGCCTTGACTTTGACGGGCATTTAGGCTAGAGTTCACACCTGCCTAAAGCACTTGATTTAAAACTAGACTAAGTCAGTCTAGCACTTCAGAGGCTTGCCAAACACCAAATATTTTGATTTCTAACCCTAAAAATATAACTCTTGAATACAAACATCAATGGTAAAGAGAAAGATGAAAGGTAAAAACCTAAGCACAAAGGGGATGGAGCACCATAATGAGGTGGCAAGGCAGCTACTGAGTGGGAAGACAATTTCTAGTTCTCCTTCAATGTGCTAGATGCATATAAACCAATAGCCAATTGAAGGGACCCCAAAAACTGTTTTCTGTTCTCCAAGATTCGTCTTAGCACAACCAAGTTCTAATCAACAGAATTCGTTTTATGAATGTATGACACTGATTCAGAACTGTTAAAAAATGCCAACTCTCAAAAAAACTGTGGAAGACTTAGTGATGTTCCAAATAAGGCCTCAGACTTTCCTTATCCACTTAAAACACATCTTTACCTTTTAATCAAAGCCAACTTGAGTGTTAAGTTTTTAAAGTTTGCTAACTGTAACTGTCTAAGAAATAACACATCAGGCTGAACTTGCCAAGTGTGAAGTCATAATTAGCACCTGTTCTCTGGTCCACAGAGCTATCGCTGCTTTTCCATCCCCCTCACTAAATAAGATAGAGTTCCCTCTCAGGCTTCTCAAAGAGAACTGTGGGAGTCATGTCTGGATACTCATTTGCTTTTCAAAAATATATAAAGACATGGAGCTGAAACTGTATGAAAACATTATACCTAGAAACATCTTAACCTCTATTTTTCAATTACCAAAGATATTTAAAAGAAAATACCTTTACTCTTTAAAAATACTAGTGTCCTTATTTTCCTTCTAATTCTTCACCTGAGTAGTCTCTCTGAAGAGCATGACTTACAAAATGCTCTCTCATGCATCCCTGGATCTTTCATGTTACTGTAAATTTAATATTTTTAATTACAGATTTTAAACAACTACTACTTGGGGTCGTGTGTATAAATATGTAAAGTAAGCAATACACACAGGTACATGATATATATGTGTATATATATAATTCAGGGTACATTTACATATATAAAGTTGCAAAAGATCCTATAAGCCACAAGTTACCTCTAGGAGATTCCGAACTGCAGTCCTCAGTACGTGTCATTTGTAGCACACAACCATTCCAAGACGAAGCCGCACAGACAGAATAATCAAAATACAACAGGATCAAGGAAAATTTTTCAATAAGGTTTTCTAAGTTTGCTATGCTGACAAAAGATGTAAATAATCCAAAGAAAGCCAAAAGAAGTATTATTTTATCTGCTAAACAAAATGAAAAGTAAACACGAACCCAGCCACTGTTCTTTACTCAGCAAAGCCAGGGACACAAAAGCTCAAATGGCAACTTTCGCTGTCAAGTGGTCTGAAAATATTAACCAAGACAAGTAAATGACTTCCATCTTATGATAATTAGACCTGACTGTAAAATCTCCCATTTATATTAGTAGATGTCTCTGACGATTTTATTGTGAGAAATGCATGGGGAAAAATAATGAGTCAACATGAATACTTTCAGAGTTACCAATGTAAAGTTACCTTAAGTTAATGGTCTTAGAAGAGTACCATCAAGGTAAGCAAGGTAAATATTTAAATAAATATAAAACTTCTAAGATATAAAAATTCAGTATAGAATCAGGGATTACTTTATTAAAAGTAACTAGCACGTTGCCAGTTTTCCCCATTTATTAAACAAACTGAATAGAATTCAGAACACACTACTGAACAAAATGTATATTAAAAAAAGTCAACTAGAAGCAGTAAATCTATTTGTACACAGCATAAATCAATATACAGTATTGTATGTGAATGAGATTGATTGGCTTTAAAATGAATTTTCTGCTTCAAGGCCAATATCTCTACAAACGTCTGCACAAGTATCGTTAGGGCAGGCCAACTTCTTTATGATGTCGCATTATGTGCTGGTTCTTTTCTGAAGGTCTTCGGAAGCCTTTCTTGCAGTACTCACACCGGTGAGGATAGTCTTTCGTGTGAATGGAAATAACATGTCGTTTAAAGCCTGAGGCATCTGTAGTGCTATACTCACAGTACTCACACTGATACACTTTCCTGCCACTGTGTGTCTTCATATGCTTTTTAAGCTCATTCTGTTGCCTGAATCCCTTTCTACATCTCTTACACCTAAACGGAAGATCCTTTGTGTGAACTGAGAGAATATGGCGACTTAGAACAAAAGGATCTGCAATCTTAAAGTCACAATGTCTACACTGGTGCATTTTTTTGCCCTTGTGGGCAGCCACATGTTTCTTGAGTTCTGAAGGCCTGTGAAAGCCTTTATCACACATGTCACACTTATGGGGGTAGTCTTTCGTGTGAACTGAAATTATGTGTCGTTTCAAATCACTCGAGTTCGAACTCTTGTGGTCACAATGCAAACACTGGTGTGTTTTGCTTTCTTGGTGGATAAGAGCATGTTGCTGCACCTCTTTGGTATCCGAGAAAGTCAGAAGACAAATGTCACACTTGAATGGCATCTCTTTACTATGCTTAGTTTTTACATGCGTTTTCAAGTTAGAAGAGTCTGCAGACCTATATTCGCAGTACTGGCATTGGTACGGCTTCTCCCCAGTATGGATTCTCATGTGCTTTTTGAGCTCTGATGGGTGACGAAAACCCTTACCACACTCCACACAAATATGAGGAAAGTTCTTGCTGTGGACCGCCAAGAGGTGGCGATTCAATAGCCCTTGTTCAGCTGTCTCGTATTCACAGAATTTACACTTGTGCATTTTGTTGGCTCCTTTTTCCTTATGCACCATTTTGTGAGTAAACAAAGCCCCTGCGTGAGAGAAATGCTTCCCACACTCGTCGCATTCAATGGCCTTCTCTGCCTTGCTGGTTAGCTTGTGGCTCTCCAGGTGGTTGTGTAAACTTATCTTCTTGTTGGTAGTGTAATCACAGTCAGTACAGCGGTACTTCTTCTTGGCAAGGTGTTCAGGATGGTTTTTCATGTGCCTTTTCAAAAAACCTCTCGACTTAAACTTCTTCCCACAAATCATGCAAGGATAGACAGTCAAAGGATGTCCATCAGGGCCAATAATTATTGCTAAGAAAGGGAAAGAAAGGAATATGAGTGCTCAAACCAAGTTCTGTTCCAGTTTCTTCACGAATGTAATGGATATGTTCTGACCACTGTTGGCCAAGGACTCCTAAATTGGGCTATTCACTACTTAGCATTCCTTTTACTGTTTTTCAACACGAGATATAGCAACCCAAAGAGAAAATGGTCTGAAAACTTCATTCGTGAGGACTGTACCACCTTCATTCCCTCTAGTTTAATAAAATTAATGAATATGTAACTTCCATCAATTAGTGATTAAAGCTATAGCAATTTAGAAATTGGTGGAAAATTAGCTGGGTGCGGTGGCTCACACCTGTAATCCCAGCACTTTGGGAGGCCAAGGCAGGCAGGTCATCTCAACTCAGGAATTCAAGACCAGCCTGGCCAACACGGTGAAACCCCATCCCTACTAAAAATACAAAAATTAGTGAGGCACGGTAGCGCACATCTGTAATCCCAGCTACACGAGAGGCTGAGGCAGAAGAATCACTTGTACCCAGGAGGCGGAGGTTGCAGTGAGTTGATATTGCGCCACTGCACTTCAGCCTGGGCAACACAGCAAGATTCTGCCTCAAAAAAAAAAGGGGAAACTGGTGGGAAATTAATCATAAAAATAAACTTTGGTTACAAAAATTTCCACTGTTTATTCCAAAAACCATAACTTACATTAACTTATAGCAAAGTTTAAATATACCCATAAAATTTTTAATATGCAAATCATCATATAAAAATAGGAATATGTCATAATGAACTAAAGTACTTATCCTGCTGCTCTGTAAATTATGCCTGCTTTATGCTGACATAATTAGATTCTCTAAATATGTTAATTTATTTAAAAAGTTAATGCTTGTAACATATTTGAGGGATTTCATTCCATGTACACATAAAAATCATCAAAGTTTTGAATTTTTCTCATCCATGTTTGCGCCATCTCCTGTTTCTTTTTATCCAAGGAAATCATTCATGAATATCACTGAATTCTGAAAATTATATTTTCAAGTTCAATAGACAAAGCTACATATGATCTAGCAGCTAAAATGCCATTGTGACACCCCTGTGGATACATACTAGAGTTTCCTCTGAGAGCTCGCAGAGCACGCTGCGCCATGGAACTCGTGCGCCCTCACCTGTTTGGTACTGCCTGGAATCAGGTCTTCTCCTTTTCTTTGGTTTTTGTTTAGCCAGTCTGCCGAGGCCAGCAGACTCATCTATGTGCAAGAGGGCACTTGCAGTGCCATTCCGGTTTTCAATTCCATCAGAATTATTACCTGACAATGCGTATTAAAAAACAAAATTATACAGTATTATAAATTCTAAAGAATTAGGAATTCTTTATTAACTACAACAACGAAAAGTAAGCCATGATACTCATGAATGACAGAAATTCCCCATTCTAGGTCATGGGTTTTATGAGCACATTTATTATAGCAAGACCGTAGGAAACGCCTAGCTTCCAAAGCTAAAAAACGCATGTCAGCATTTTGCCCCATGGACTCCCTTGTTGTCTCCCAAAATTATAAAGTCATGGGCCAAATATGATGAAAAGTTTCAGTCTGAAAGCCTGTGTATTTCTTGCAGCACTTCCTTCTACATAATATACACATGAAGAATATTCCTGTTAAAAATAAAGACAAAAAGTAGACTTTATACTCTTATTCAAATCAAATAATCCTTACAGGATACTGGAATTTCAGATTTCTGAAACCTAAGACCACAGAAACCATTCTTCAATCATGGATTCATGTTCAAGAACCAACTTCTTCAATGCTAAGAGCTGCTGGGCGACTTACCATAAGCTGCTGCCCATGCGATCGGCATGAAGGTTTTGATTTCATTGTCATCCATTTGCTGCTCATGCACAGCGGCGGCGGCTGCAGCAGCCGCAGCAGCATCCTCCTCTCCTACGATCACTTCCATATAAACTTCATCAGCGATTTCAGCAACATCTACGTAGAAAGTTACAAAAACTTCTGTGACCAGGTTTACAGAGATCACAGGAAAGATGTTTTTATTTGAATTCAGTTAATACACAAATGGAAAGAAGGTCCAAATATTACATACCTAGAACATAGCTTTTGTGTAGTAAGCACTCAATAAATATTTGTTGAATGAATCATTCACTTCTTGGTTTTCACCATAATTTGGTTTTAAAGCAACATTATAAGCATACATAAAGAGTCATTGATGTTTCCCTTGGAATGTAGCAGCATAATAACCTCTAAAATAATGCTACTTATTTCAAACGTTGGCCACTTAAAAAAAAGCTCCAGAAACATAAAATTTTCTCCCACAAAAAGGCCACCTACTTACTTAAATCTTCATCTTCTGGCTGAGAGTCATTGACAGTCATATAAACCATCTTTTCCCTGGGAACACGAATACTGCTGTTCTGATCAAGCAGTTCAACTCCATGATCATTCTCAGGCTCACTCTCCACAATGTCTACAGTTCCACCTATCAGGGAAGAAGACAGCTTCAATAATTTACTTGAAAACTTCATTTCCACCTGTTTCTTTCTACATGCTTTCCTTATTACTTTTTACAATCTTTGCTATTACTACATTGAAATTCTTATATAAAAGTTACTTCAGAAGAGACTCCAAATGTTCTCAATCTAAATAACCCAAAAGTAATCAGGTTGAAGCATTTGGATGAGACTATATAATGTCTAAACATTTCTTCTTACCTAAGTCATCTTCTCCAGGGTCAGCTTTAAAAATGTACACCTTGATGACCTCAGGGCAAGAGCCATCCACTTTACAAGGATCAATTTCCGACTCTGTGTCCATGGTCATTCCAGAAGAACCGTCGTGTTCTATTTTGCCAGCATCATCCACTAAAAAGGAAGGAAATAAATCACAAATAATAATGGCAGATATTTAAATAAAATGTTACTGTTTGCAAAAGCTCTTTTACAAATATAATCTCTAACTTGATTCACATAAAACTGTATTTTACACCCGGTGCAGTGGCTCAGGCCTGTAGTCCCAGCACTTTGGGAGGCCGAGGCAGGCAGATCATGAGGTCAGGAGTTCGAGACCATCCCGGCTAACACAGTGAAACCCCGACTCTACTAAAAATACAAAAAAAGTAGCTGGGCACAGTGGCGCGTGCCTATAGTCTCAGCTACTTGGGAGGCTGAGGCAGGAGAATTGCTTGAACCCAGGAGGCAGAGATGGCAGTAAGCTAAGATCATGCCACTGCACTCCAGCCTGGGTGACAGACTGAGGCTCTACCTCAAAATAAAAAAAACTGGATTTTACCTAGGCAAGTAGAAGATTCAATAAATATATTCCTAAAGACTTCTGAAAACGGAATCAGATATTAAAGCAAAAACTATACACAGAGAAAACTCCGTAGTAGCCTAGAAAACTGTAAGTAACAAAAGAATATACTTATAGCCTTTGCTAAGCCACAAGGTAAAAGCAACTCTAATTAAAGATTCCATCTAATACTAAAATCTTAAAAGAACTGGCCAAGTGCAGTGGCTCACTCCTATAATCTCAGCACTCTGGGAGGCCAAGGTGGTTAAATCACTTAAGGCCAGGAGTTCAAGACCAGGCTGGGAAACATGGCGAGACCCCCATCTCTACCAAATTTACATATATCTCACACACACAAATTAGCTGGGCATGTGGCACACGCCTGTAGTCCCAGCTACTCGGGAGGCTGAGGTGGGAGGATCACATGTGCCTGGGAGGCAGAGGTTACAGTGAGCCAAGATCACACTACTGCACTCCAGCCTGGGTGACAGAGTGAGACCCTGTCTCAAAACAACAACAAAAAACTTAAAAGAATGTCCTAGAGGTAAAATCAAGAAATGCAGTCTTCATATAAATATTTTATAAGCGCTATTTCATGGTCACTATTCATGAATGTCATTTGATATGATCTATTTCCAATAGAATGTTACATTTGAAAATAATCAAAATATGATTGCCAGAAAGGTATACTGCAATGAGATGGTCAACAGAAATTCAACTTCAAAGGCCGGGCGCAGTGGCTCAAGCCTGTAATCCCAGCACTTTGGGAGGCCGAGGCGGGTGGATCACGAGGTCAAGAGATCGAGACCATCCTGGTCAACATGGTGAAACCCCGTCTCTACTAAAAATACAAAAAATTAGCTGGGCATGGTGGCACGTGCCTGTAATCCCAGCTACTCAGGAGGCTGAGGCAGGAGAATTGCCTGAACCCAGGAGGCGGAGGCTGCGGTGAGCCGAGATCGCGCCATTGCACTGCAGCCTGGGTAACAAGAGCGAAACTCCGTCTCAAAAAAAAAAAAAAAAAATTCAACTTCAATCTGCTTAAATGTAAATATGCATAATGTACACACACAATTTTAGTTTATGAAAATAATGAGTCTAGGTCCTTGCTGGCAAATGCAGCAATGCATGAATTCAAACATATTCTCATATACCCATTGCCCTCATTAATGAAGGTATAGCCTACATATGTTAAAAAATGAACGAACGACACAGAGACAGAGAAAAGGAGAGAGAAAAAAAAAAAAAGAAAGAAAAATAAAAAGAAAAGAGGTACATATGATTTCCAGTAGTAGAGACTCGGGGAATATACAACAAACATCACATTTATTTTTTAATTTTTTAATTTCATATTTTATGTATTTGTTTATTTTGAAAGAGAGTCTCTGATACCCAGGCTGGAGTGCAGTGGCACAATCTTGGCTCATGCTGCCTCCTGGGTTCAAGCGATTTTCCTGCCCCAGCCTCTCAAGAAGCTGGATTATAGGTGCCCGCCACCACACCCAGCTAATTTTTGTATTTCTAGTAGAGATGAGGTTTTGCCATGTTGGTCTCAAATTCCTGACCTCAAGTGATCCACCCACCTCGGCCTCCCAAAGTGCTGGGATTATAGGCGAGAGCCACCACATCCAGCCAAACATCACATTTTTAAAGCTTTGTAAAAGTAGCCAAGGAAGTAAGTGTGCTGTTATTCATAGGACCTGGAAAATAAAGTTCCCCAAAATGATGTCTTCAAATAACAGATTCTGAATTTGAATACCAAAAGCATAATCCCCATATAATGTAGCCTTACGTTACACAGTGACATCTCTAGCTCAACAAAAAGTGTGGCAAAGACTAATGAAAAGTTAGCACCCAATACAATTTAGTTTATCACAGAAGCTGGATTTTTCAATGTTGAGTCCATTAGTGAAACACTGAAGGAATGTTCTCTCTGCTCTAGGCCCAGCAGGCCTATGTGGCATAGTGGAAGACTAACTAGAGGGGATCAGGGCTGAGTCCCAGAAAAGAAGGCTCACTGAGCTTGTCCACAATGCCCACAACAAGCCTTTTCATTTCCCCTTTGCCCTTTTAGTTTCCTTTCTGGTGTTCCTCTGCTAGATATATCTGTCTTCCTTTTGGATGAACAGTCATGTTTTATTCAGTTCAACAAACAGTGAATCACAACTATATTAGACTCTAGGCTAGGTACTGGAGATGCAAACATGAAAGTCAAGGGCTCCAGAAGTTTAGTCTTGTGGGAAAGTGGACAACAGCTATTTTTAAATGCAGTAATAATAATGCAGCTACCACTTATTAAATGATTACGGTAAGTACTATTCAATACTTACAACCCTGTGAGGCAGGTGGTACAATATTCTCTACATTTTATAGTAGAGCAAACTGAAGTTTAGAGAGGTTGAGTAACTTATCTGGAGTCACACAATTCATATCTCAAACTATGTTAGTTCCAATCAGGACTCATCAACTTCTGGAATTTGGAGCATAGGGTTTAAATCGGTAGAGGCCAACTGTGATTTTTGAAAAATCAAAAAAATAGTATAATCTAAACATGCTTTCTTTTCATGGAAATCAAATGAATGTGCTCATGACTCAAGCAGGCATAATCAGTACTGCAACCACAGCTGGGTAGTTGTAGTTCTGACCGCTGTAACTTTTAAAACCCAGTCATCCCTTGTGGAATTTACACCTGTTATACCAAGACAGAACTCAGATTCTGACATCTTCGAAATGATACTTCTGCCAAGTCCTGTTGAGATCTCTATCAGATCCAAAAGTTGTGTTTACCTAATCAAAATTCTTACACAGAACACCAAGATGAATCTAGTATCTCAAAAGCCAACATTCAAAAGCAGAAATGCGGCCGGGAGCAGTGGCTCACGCCTGTAATCCCAGCACTTTGGGAGGCTGAGATGCTCGGATCATGAGGTCAGGGGTTAGAGACCAGTCTGACCAACATGGTGAAACCCCATCTCTACTAAACATAAATTAGCCAGGCGTGGTGGCATGCGCCTGTAATCCCAGCTACTCAGGAGGCTAAGGCAGGAGAATTGTTTGAACCTGGGAGGCAGAAGTTGCAGTGAGCCGAGATTGAGCCACTGTACTCCAGCCTGGGCGACAGAGTGAGACTCTGTCTCAAAAAAAAAAAAAAAAAAAAAAAAAAAAAAAAAAAAAAAAAAAAAAAGGCAAAAATACAGTGACAATTTCCCAACTTCTGACTTATTGAGAAACAAGACCATCCACATATCCCAAACAAATTACTTGCAAAGAAAGGTTGAAAATGGCATCCCCAAACCTTTGTCATGTGCAAACATAAAAATTATAAAATTTAATCAGCTTGCTTCATATGCAAAGTTCAAGAATCCCAAACTCTGGGCCACTGACAGCAGTTGTTTTGGTCTATTTTTGACATCATTAATCAGTAAACGAGATTTTAATATACCTTCAGTTTCAAAATCAAACAAGTCACTTAAAACTGCACTTGTTGATAAATTATACTTTTCCTTACATACTTTAAATTCAAATGAAGGTCATTTATGAGAAAAAAGCAAACGCTTGCTTATGTACATTATAAGATGACATTAAAGTTGAACCCTCTAATGCAACCTTTAATCAATTGATACAGAAAATGAAAGAGGATGACAGAAATGACTGGCAAACATCATTGTGCACTGATCGCTGCCATGGGAACAAAGGAACGATACCTCACTCAGGTTGGGAGAAAGCAAAGGGCACTTAATTCAGGTAAATGGACAAATGCAGGGAAACACAAAATGGCGTGATGGTAAGGGAATACATGGTTCAATATTGCTGCAATGTGAGGGTAAAGCATGTCACAGGGCATGGCAGGAAATGCAGTTGACTGCTAAGCTCAAGCCAGGTCAGGAAGGGCCTCGTGCACAAGCAGAGGGGCTCAGACTTTATCCTCGCAGGCCAAGGGTCTCAATCTGGTCAGGTGTCAAAATCTCTTAGGGAATTTAAAAACAAAGCATCCAGTCCAGCAGCTCTACATAATCAGAATCTGCAGGGCTGGGACCTGATATATATGGACAGATTTAGGGGCGCCCTGCCTCTGGGACTCTGATAGGCAGGAGAACATCTGCTGCAGGGATTGGGAGACTCAGGCAGAGCAGTGACTAAGTCAGATGCCCATTTTGCTGGTCTTGGAAAGGTAGATCCAAAGAGATCAAAACATGAATCTGACTTAAGCCTACTACACTAATGTAGGTGATGACAAGGCTTTGAATCAGGACAGAGGTAGTACAACTGGGCTGGGCTGGACTTGGGGCCTATTTTGGGACTAAAATGAGTAGAACTTGGTGTCTGACTGAAAACCCAAGATGACAAAGGAGCCAAGGCGAATTGGGTGTTGTTAATTTAGATGACTGAGTGACTGGGGTAAGAAATGTGAGAGAAATGAGGAAAAGGATCTCTCTTCCTGCATGTTTGATTAATCTTAAGGTCCCAAGGATAACATTCTGAAAAGCCCTCAGAACCAGCGCTTGTCACTATCACATTGTGCTCATGGCACCCTTTGCTTGCTTGCTTCTCTCGGAATACATGATTCATTGTG